AGTATCTCAGCAACATCTCCCAGCATGGGATACCCACACTTTTTTGAGTGTCCGATCGATCTTAGCTTTTTTGCTATCTTTTTCGAATTTTTACCGTGTAACTTTTTATGTGTTTTTTGCATAAATAATGCATTTTTATGAAATGTGCATAACAGTATGACCAATTCGGAATGCTCAAAAACCCTCTCTCCTGGGAAAGATTGGCCCTGGACATGTGCTTCATAGGTTATCTGTTTTTGAACTGCCGAGCTCCCGCGGCTTTTGTTGTTGCTCAGTTCTGTACACCTCCCGTCTGGAGAAAAATAGAAAGTACGGGAAGGGTCGTAGAGGCCCAATCTGGAACTAATTATTAAAAATAGTAATGTTCATGCTGAGATGGAAGACGTTTTGTAATAGAAACCGTGGAACCGTAAAAGACAGTGTAAGATTTGTCGGTCAAAAACTTCTTAAGAAGTCGTAGAAATCTGGAATAGTTAAACTAGCATAAGAGAATGGCAATATGGTGAACAGATCAAATCGAATGAAGGTGTAAAACAGTAGGCTTTGAACGGCCGGAGTAGAAAGTTGGGAACATAAGCCAAAAGATTTTCTACTGCGCAGTGGACGCCGAAAATGTCTAATTGCTGAATGAGTGGGAGAAGTTGCAACGCTAAAAAGAAGTAATACTTTTTTGAGAGGGCAAATTGAAGGTTTTTTTTTTGAAAATCCATAGCACAGCAATATAACACAGTGCTAGAGTTTCACGCATCCAGAGATAACAGATGGGAAAAGCGGATTTTTGAAAAATACACTACCAGTCATTTGAGTGTCTTATATAAAATTATATGGCTGTGAGAGTTCCAAAACAGAGGAGAATGGAGAAATTGCGAGCTGTATCAATGACAAGAAGAAACACTGCAATGAAACAATGACTAATCTCAGAATATCGCTAATTTCGGATGCGTTTTAAAAACACAGACTGCATCATAAAATGTCTTCATACACATGACATTCAAGTGAAATCCTTCTATTCATCTATTTAATATAAACCAGGAATTCTGTGCAACAAATTTTTACTGTTTGACTGGATGAATTCATTAAATAGCTACGAAAGATAGGAGATAGTGAACTTCTGTGGACGGATTCTTTTCGACTATTTATGAGACCAAACAACTGGTGCAATTATGCGTTTTTGTGCTAAACTTAAAGCAGGCAAATCTTTAAAAGTACTAATAGCCGTAGCATGAGCATTCATGTTGCCAGTGTTTTGGTCTTTTCTTGTATACAAAGGAGAGGAGTGATGGCGGATGGGACTACTCACGTCGAGTGACGGGAATTTGAATATGGTGGATAGGTTGCGGGTTTTGTTCGAGGCAGAGGAGAGAAATTGCATTGCCAGAGAAGCTAGAGCGTTTTCACAATGCCGGCCGGGCCGAGCCGAGTTTAATAACAGCACCAGGATGTGTTTTCTGGACTTGTTTTGAAGTGATGGGATTTGTGTTTCTTTTATTTTCCGAGTCCCTGAAACGCTAACAGTTTCGTACACGAGTGCGGTAACGTTCCGGGTTTTTTGTTCCCATGAGATTTTAGGCCGAGAACGCTTCCCTGCGAC